AAGTCGAATTAACCAGCTTCTTTGAGATCTTCCCAGCTACTCCAAGTTTACATTGTTGTGGAAATGCGTACAATTGATAGCTCCACCTACAAAGCTCTACTAAATTATTACTCTTACCAGAACTTTAAAGGATGCAATAGGTCTGATTTGAAGCAGGTCTATACTTTTCATTCATTTCTAATTCAACATTTTAGGTTGGTCAAGAGATTGAAGTACGTCCAGGCATTGTTTCCAAAGATGAGAAAGGAAAACTGCGTTGGGAACCAATCTGTTCTGTGATTGTTTCGTTGTTCGCCGAACAAAATGATCTTCAGTACGCCGTACCTGGTGGACTAATTGGTAAGAATATCCATCAAACTTTACCCAAGAAACATGTCTTTTGTATCAGGGATATTTCATCAAACTTTTCATTCCATTTAAACCATGTGAAAAACTGCATTTCATATTCCATTTATCTTCATTTTAAGCTAGTTGTTGGAACGAAAATTGACCCAACTCTTTGCAGAAAGATCTGTCAAACTTTACCCAAGACACATGTAGACCTTTTGTGTCAGACAACTCGAGCATTGGGGGATATCTGATCAAATTTCCATTGCATTTAAAACATGTAAAAAGCAGCATTTCATAATCATTTATCTTCATTATAAACCAGGTGTTGGAACGAAAATTGACCCAACTCTCTGCAGAGCTGACAGAATGGTTGGCCATGTAAGTACAGAATTTCATTTAGGTTTCATTATTTACAGCTTTCAATTCCTTTTGACAAAATATTTTATTTTCTTTGGTAAGGTTTTGGGAGCAGCTGATGCGTTGCCAGAAATCTACACAGAACTGGAAATCAGTTATTTCTTGTTGAGGAGGTTGCTGGGTGTTCGAACAGAGGGTGACAAAAAAGCTGCCAAGGTAGAGTAAACATACAATATGTGATGTTAAATGTTTCTGGATAAAATAGTTTAGGTTCCTCCTGTAGTAACACTGGATCAATAAGAGATGATCCTTACTAGACCTCTAGGAAGAACAGTTTAGAACTGATAGAGCTATCCAGCATAAATAAAGTTAGTTTAGTTCAGGTTTCCTCCTGTAGTAACACTGGATCAATAAGAGATGATCCTTACTGGACCTCTAGGAAGAACAGTTTAGAACTGATAGAGCTATCCAGTATAAATAAAGTTAGTTTATTAATTATAATAACTTGTAGGTACACCACGTAAGTATTAAATACTGCAAAGCTTTCGGTCCGTTAACCCGGACCTTCATCAGTGCAATTACTTGAATACACGTTTGCGCGTCACTTAAATATCATGTTAGTCGTGATTAGTTTGCTCGCGCTATTAATTAAACGGTTTCATTTAATTAAGTTCTAACTAATGCGCGCGCCCTAGACAAGTATTTGACTAAGAGACACCGAAAAGAGCACGCCACGTACTATTAAGTGGCTTTCCCTCTTGGACGATAGTTTGATGTTTATAAATTTCAATAGATTCTCTCATTTTACGAGAGACAGTAAACTTATCGTTTGCTAAAATGGTAGCATCGTTCCATTTAATGCGATGATCATAAGTCCATGCATGGTGAGCTACTGCAGACTTATCCAGTTTACCTTTCTCGCAGTTCGTCTTATGTTCTAGCAATAACAAATTGTTTCGCGCTCTTTACACACACAAGGATGGCGTCGATGAACAACAGAAACCTGGTGTGTACCGCATTCCATGTGAATGTGGTTTGGTTTACATTGGAGAGACCGGTAGAAATCTCTCAATACGTCTTAAAGAACATAAGACGAACTGCGAGAAAGGTAAACTGGATAAGTCTGCAGTAGCTCACCATG